TCAGTGGTCTCGTCTAGTTTTTACACAGCATTCTAAATCCATGTCACCTCACACAGCAAGGTATTGCCTTATAAATTCTACTTAGTATTTGCAGCACAATTTTTAACTTAACGCTATTACTGATAGCTGTCATTTTTTCACTATTGTCTACTTGTATCAAAAGGAACACGATTAGTAACTGTTCAAGTGGCTGATACAAAATCCCGCCATTATCCAAGTTGGCTTTAATTAGTACCCACCTTCCATAGCGATCAGCCTAGCGTCTGTCCAGCCGTGAGTGAAATTTCCCGCCAGTACTTATAAACATAAGAACCACTGACGGGCCGTGAGGTAGGGGTAAACTTTTGAATGGGAAGGATTTGTGCAACGCCACTTGGCAGAAAGGTGGTCCAGAATGTTTGCCGGAGCATGGGCTACATTAAATTTGGCGGCACAGCCTTTATTGTTATTTTGCAGACGATTTTCGTGTCGTCTGTGAGCTGTGCCGCCATTGGGGGCTAAGCAGAAGGACGGGGGCAAAGCAGAATTGCGCCGGGGGCGTAGAGGAACGACGGGGGCGAAGCAGATTTTTTGCGGGGGCGAAGCAGAACGGGGCGGGGGCGAAGCAGAACGGCGGGGGCGAAGAGGAAGGAGTTTCATGGGGGTGCTGCACTGCGCTATCCTGTCTTACACGATTTTCTTCTAATTCTCGGTAAGCAACATAATTAAAAATCATGGTACACGAATAAATATTGCAAATGACTGATGAATGATAGCTGACATTTTCTTCACTGGAATCTATCCATTATATGGTAAAACCTATATAACACACATGCTCAAACATGTGACAAACGTTGCAACACAATGTTAGAATGACAGCGAATTATCATGCATTGCAGGAACTGACACAAATGTTTCAATACATACAAGCATCTTCAGTCAGAAACAAACTTCAAGACAAATTCTATACTGTTCAAGACAGGGAGGTATGACTGGAAACAGTTGCGAAAAGTTCCATCTTACCACATGCTAGAACAGCAGGGTTGTGGCAGAGTCTTCCTAGGAACTGTCCGATGTTGGGAAGATGTCTCATAATAGCTGCTGGCCTGTCCTGTGGTCATATGGAATTTAAAAAAGAACTTTTAAAAATATGTAGCCAGTGCCACAATTTTGATTTTGGCCATTCAACATTGACAATTAAGAAAGGACCTTTCAACATCACACTAAGTTTTATATATATGTATGATCATTCTATAATGTAACATATCTTATCAATACACCTGTACATAAAATCAAAGAATGCTTTGTCATTGAATTTTCCATTGGTTCCTGAAAATTAGAATAAGATTGTAGTTTTCAATGTAAGCACAATATGTGTGCATATTTTATTAGAGTTTTTTCAGTTTACGTTCAGACTGGCAGATTTGTCTCTATATAAATCAGCCCTAAATCGGGGGGTGCATACTAGAGAATGAATGAAGAATTTACAGTATATTCCATAATCATAAATCTTAGACTAAGACTAAATAGGATTACCCATGTTGTCATGGCAACATGAAGCCCTCTCAAGAAGGTTTCCAACTCTCCAAGACACCTGCAGGTGGTTCTCAGTCCCTCCGTGGAAACCACACCCCCTGGTTCTCCCCAGGACTTGGCACGGTCCAGCCAGAGATCTAACTCTGCACTGTCCATACTTCTGTGGTGCAATGTAGTAAAAAAATACATAATGATCCTTCTGTCACACCTTTATATTCAAGCAGACGTTGGGAGAGAATGCTGTGATATTTTCTGGCTGTCTTGATGTTAACAATGTCCGAAAAGTGAGCAGCTTGAAAATGCTACATACATGTTCTTTGCTTCAACATCTGCTTCGAGATGTCAAAAAGGTAAGCTACATATAGAAGTTAGTCATATCTTATGTTACCATCGATATCTCTAGATACATAAGGACAAGTTCGGACAGGTACGCAAAACCTATGAAAACCTAAAATTTATTATGCTGCATTTCATTATTTAAGGAAAAGAACGGAACAGTGTATGTAATTGTTTTACAGATTACATAAAACAGATTTGGAAGACAAAACTACAAACAAAATACACTTACCTGAATTCCTAACCCTTCAACATGTGGGAATCGTCCTTAGGTATAGGGAATATCTAGATACACAACAACGATGCAAAGTAAACTGATTATCACAAACCAAATTTGTGAGACATTTACAGCTTACAAAATACGCGCGAAATTTGTGACCTTTGACCGATCGCAAGCACATGGAGATAATTTTGAACTTTGGTTTTCCCGAGTCTACGTAACAGGTAACGAAATTCTTAACATTTTAGTGAATATATTTTAATCAAGTTATTTTTATGAACTGTAAATATAGGGCTAGAATTTGAACGTACCGTCTGACAATCATTTCGTTTGCGTTATGGTGTGCATTCGAAGCAGAAGCCGCCATATTGTTTTTAGAGTACCAGTCACAGTTTTCTACGGACTTTGAACCCAACTTTGCCAGAAAGTTAGGGGCGTTTATGTGTAGTCGCCACCTTGTACTCATCTAGACAGTGACAGGGGTGAGTTTTACTCAAATTTTGTGTGGAATAAGAGACGTTTGCAGACTAGAGACAACTCACGAACTTTTGTAAAGTTCAGTTGCTCCCGGGTGGGTGTACTCACTAACAAGAGCAACGTAACACGAGACAAAGTTCAAGAGTGAGGGGACCTAGCAACCACGTTCCCCCATGGCTAAAAATCGTTATGAAGATTTACTACTATAAGTAACCCACGAAGGCAGTTGTTTCTCCGAATTTCTGCTTTGACTTGTTCTAGGCTGTTGTTACAGGCGCACATATGGATGTAGTGTATGCTAAAAATTCAGAGGGGGGGGGGCGGCTATGTCTTTGATTTCAGGTGGGTGGACAAGGGTCCCGAATACGGATCAAAATTTTACATATTCCCTCTTGAGATATCAACCTAGTACAAGCCTAAAAGTTATAACTTAATACAATAATATATTATGGAAATGAGTAAGGACAGAGCGAAGTTCTTTGCCCAAGAATGTTTTTTTTTTCTTCCTCATGTATGTGGTCATGCGTGCATATATGCATTGGGCTTTGTCCCACAATTCAAAATCATTCTGTACTTTGTCAATTCTGGATATACTAGTATGGAAAAATTCTCTACACAAATTATACTAGTGCATGTTGTCTATTGCACAAAATTATCATGTATGTTGTTTTAAAATGGAGCAAGACTGGTGACCAGTTGGAGATTAGAATTTAGGTAACAATAGGTGTGCACATGTGTCACAAAAGCTGGCACTGGACCGTGATTTGTGTACAGGTACTGCTAATTAGTGAAATACAAAGGAAGTCTACTAGGCAAATACACGTGAACTACATATCATGGGGGTGTCATCTTCTTTGATACGATTAGTGTATACCCCAGGCCTAGGAACGAGGAACAAATAACCTGTATGTGGGTAGGGAAATGCGTAATCAGGAAGTGGCTCAGATCCACTGCCACAGGGTATGAAATATTTGGCTAACCATATGTAACACAGAAATAAAATTTATTCTTGATGAAATGCCAGCAATTTTGCAAAAAATATAAGAAAAACTGTTGTTGTATGTCTTCTTCTTTGTGACTACTAAATGTAGTTGGCCAGCATGAATGTCACTCTGAAAGTCTGAATATAATGTTTCATATATAAAATATCATAATATCCTCCAGGAAAATTTAGAATTTATCTCTGAAACAGAATGCAAAGACACTGCCCATTTGATAAAGACTGGATAAAAATCCAGGTGTTCATTAGTTGTTGTAGGCAACAAATTAAACGTTGCTGTAACCTAAGTAATACCACTAGGCAGGTGTCATGTGACTGTGCATACTGACCTCGAGTAACATCTAAGGATTGTTTTGTTGGACTTTAGCTTACAGTCAACCACGATAAGATATTTACACAGTGGTAGAAATACTTGTTTTCAGTGTTCTGCAGTATTGCAGGATGTCAAAATTTTGTTCTGTAATTCGGAAATCCCATCTGTTAACACACACTGGTACCATTTTGCATGGAATTTTAAAAATACATGAAAAATTACTGAATATAATAGAGTCACTGCGCGGCCGTGTGATAGAGAAACATTTAGATGTTAAGATAGTTTCCTTGAAACATTCTTTACAGTTCTGAGATATGTTTTGGTGAGCGTGGAAGGTTATTTTCAGATGTGGGTCATAGCAACACCAATGCAATTAGTCACGTTAATGAAGTTTACGGTCCTTGTCAGTATGATTACATCTGCCTCTTTGTTGAAGAAAACGGGAACCTCTGACATTTGCTCTTAACAGGTGGTTAACAATTACTATGCCGCCAGGCAATATTCGCGAAACCTTCCAACCATTATTTCCTCCTGTTGAAAGGATGTTGTATCCATGGAAACCGTGTGCGTATACGACGCCTGAAGTGTTTTTGTGCCTGGCCTCTCAGTTGTCAGTCATACTGTATTACATGCTGGCAGTACATTATGCGGCGAAGGCCACACCAATTTCACTTGTTGGTTCACAGATTCGCAGAGTTGTTTTTTTCTGATTTGCAAAAAATAAAGAGAACATTTCAGGCACTGAATCAACTCCGAAATACTCATATTCTGGCCCCAACAGTTGATGGAAGTCCCTTCTCCTCAATGTTGTTTCCCATCTATCAATGCAGTGGTTTGCTTGAAAGTTTGAAATTCATTGTTTGAATTAAAAATCAACCTGGTATGTTCACCTCATGGCAATTATCATGGCTTTTGGGGCTATGAGAGGATGCCCTGGTCTGAGAACCAACAAATCAAATTGATGTAGCCTAACAATACTAAATATTCAGCCACGACTTACCAATGTTACTTAAGTATTAGATGAAAGTGTTGCGATTTAGAACATTATTTAGAATCATACTACAAATCGCTCCAAAAAAACAACAAGCTGTGTAAAGCAGGATGTTGTTAAAGCTGCATTATGTAACATTTTTGTGCAAAAAATTGGTATATCTTAATTGAAAAATTTTAATGTCATCTCAAAATACCAGGATGTAAACAAACATGGCAAGACAAGATGGCAAGCCCAGGTGCTGATGACTTTGAGTGGAGCGACTTTGATTTTACAATTGTAGCAAATTTTGAGGATTATTTTGATGAAATGATAGGAAAGAAGCATATGCTATAGGCAGAGATGACGATCCCCTTGACATCCAACATTCAAGCACTGGGACTAGCTTCTTGCAATATAGTACTAATATATCTAGTTTCTATTTGGGCATTCGAGCATGAAATCTTATTCTACACACTTAGTACTTCCTCCACTAAGTACAGAGGCACACAACCTGTAGAAAGTCTCTCTCTTTCAGTCAGTTTCAAAAGACTTATAAAATGTAGCACCAACAATCTAGTTTGCTAGAAAAAATCAGGTTTGCCAGTCATGGAAGTTTGGAAAATGGAAATTTCATATAGACAACCATCTGCAAGGTATGTAGGCATATCCAAAATAAATAAAGTAAATAAGTAAAGTTTTGTATGGCGAGTGCATTTGATGGTGTATTCCTGTAAGTGTTGCAAAACACACACAAAAAATGCAGAAACTGGCCCATTTTTCGTTGCACAACAGAGATTCATGTCTAGCCTGGGTACCATCCTGGTTAGTTTACGTCCGCTCCTACAGTCGCTACCACCGACTGTAGGAGCGGACGTAAACTAACCAGGATGGTACCCAGGCTAATTCATGTCTATGTAACCGCCATTTTGTCTGCAACCAATGCTGGGTTCTTCGCAGCTGTAATACGGCACATTTGTACAGATTTTGGCGTGAATATGCACGGCCAACTCCGGAATCAAAGAAGTACCGCCAGTGCCGTCGGGATCTAACAGGCTAAAACAAAAGACCGTGCTTGGAGGGTGTAAATTGCGTGCTCTCTCCTTCCCTTTTCTAACCACCTTGGTAGCACAAGTTACTAGTACATATATATGAGATGTCCCTGACATCTCCTTTTGATATTCCAAGTACTGTATGTGCTTGACATAAGAAGCTTGTTTGTGTCTTGTAATTTGGGTCAGAGCTGCCTTGTGCCAGACAAGATGGGATGTAATCACAAATTTGATACATAATCATTTTGGTCTAAAGTGGCCATATACCCACAGAAATGGAGTTTACCATTGGATCCGTTTTGACTGCTAGCTAATAGGCTGTCAGTATCAGGCGCGAGGACAAGTTAATTGGATATTAAAGCACACCACAGGTGTCTTAATTGGTTTTCGCCTGGTTCATGCCTCACCCACCGCCTGTCATAATACCTCGCTTTACTGCCGACTCGGAGTTGATGAATATTAATATATTTCCTAGCCTTTGATTTGTTTAGGTGGATTTTTTTACCGCAAATGAGGACATTACTTTGCGGTGAACAAGTGCCGTGAACGATTTGCGTCAGTCAGTCTCGACTCTCGAGCTTGTCTGCGGTCGTAAGGAGATCGAAATTTGACTTGGGAAGCATTAAGGATCGTCATGGCTTTTAAGCTGTGTTTGGAAAAGATGAGCAACATGGTACAGACAGTTCAGAGGGGGCTATTTTACCTCGGGCAGCGCCACATCTTTCGACTTGCGGTGGTCGGTACTCTTGTCTCTACCTTATGTTTTTGTCAGATGTCTTACCTGTAAGTGCTTTGTATACATGTATGTGGAGCTGTACATGTGGGTGCCGTGAGATGTCAGCCACACAGGCTGTGGTATAACTACCAGAAATACACATCTAGGAAAACATCTTGGGCAAAAGCAGCCGTATGGAAATTAGAAAATTCATTTTCTGACACAGTCACTCATAAACTGGTATATTGCAAAGTAGAGAAATGGATGCAGACTTTTGTTTTTTAACACCATATTGTTTCCTGTTAATTGTTTTATTGACTAATACTGGTATATTAACAAAGGTAGCTTTTGGAGAGAATTAGAAAAACCTGCTATTTACAAATTTTTGTGATATCTGGTAGCCGTAGGCAAATTAGATGTCTATTGTATAGAAGTCTTGCCATAGTAAATGTGTATGTAGAGGCAAGTTTGTGTGTAATTTTTGAATTAGCAGCCTTTGGGATGTCATTTTTTACTGAACTGTGTCATCCTATCTGTTCTTTTATACAAACGTCATTTTGATTCTGTATTCATCTGAATGAAATTTTCATAGACAAGTTTCTATGAAGAAGCTAAGCTAAGCTAAGCTAATGAAGTATCGAACATAAATAACTTTTTTTCTCTTCGAGTGTCAAAAAAAAGATCAATCTTTGTTGTATTCATTGTTTACAATTTTGAAGATAGACATAGAATTGCATGTTGTGGGCAAATTTTTTTCTTCTTTGGACCAGTGCAGTGCAACTTTTCCCAAAAATTAATTTCGAGCTCTAGTATATTAGCAACAAGGTTAATTTGTGGTTAATAGAATACAATTATTTTCTTCGCAAAATTAGAAAAATTGCACTAGCCTCTTTGTATTTACATACATTTTAAGAATTGTCATTTACATTATCTTCTAGAGACTGAAGGATTATGTAGTGTAACTGTTGGTGTTTATTTCTGCAGTACTGTCGTGTGCAATATTTTCTTGTGCTCTAACAGAAAAATCTTATATAAAGTCCTTATGACAGTTATGTAGGTAGGATTACTGAATGAAACCTGTTTTCGCCAGTATTGAAATAGTTCTTTTGATGTCCTAGTTCTACCGGTAGTACTAGCTGCTTGTGGTTGAAGGATGGTGAAAACCCCTAAAGGTATCACGTTGAGTCCCTTGATTGCATTAGAGAGGGTGTTATTTCAATCTTTCAAAATGGGTTGTTGCTATGCAAAATTTGAGGCTTCCATTTCAAAGTCGAATGTTGTTGGCAGCTTTGTTTTTTACAATTTTTTTTTACTTGGAAACCATATCTTATGTCTCTTCTGTAGCAACCAACAATATTATATTATCACAATACTGTTGGTTGCTAGTAATTTGCTACAACAGATTCTCTGATTATGAAGTGGCTTTAGGAGATATACTCTCCATATACATATTTAGAACAGGCAAATAAGCCATTTTATATCATGACAATCCACTGTTTTGTACCAATTTTCTGTGACTGTACTTTATCATACTAGTATACTAGTAACTTATTACTTATATGCACACAAGTACAAGTAATAAGAATTTAGTCATCAAGATCATTTAGAGCCCTTTCATTATTTTATTTTGACTTGTGTATTAGTACTATTAGGCTTCAGGAGAACAACAGGTGTAAGATATATAAGAGGGCCTGCAAGGGGGGGTAGTGATTACGAATTACGCAAAATTTTCGTCGCCGATTACGAATTACGTTAAAGTTTCAGAGCTGATTACGACTTTACGATTTGCGGCTAATGTCTAATTACGAATTACGCTGATTTTTTGGGAGGCTGCCTACGAATTACGAAGTCTAAAACGGCCTAATTACGCCTTACGAAAAAGGGCTTGCAGGCCCTCATATAAGGGTCCAGGTGTCACAAGCTATTAGATGTAGTAGATATAACCTGCTGTGTTTCTATAAAAGCTGCTGGTGTGTTGCACACAAAGGCATAATTTTACCAGGAATACGAGGGCTGAAAGTCCATATATAGGAATAGATGCACAGTCCTATGTATATTTTTAGGTTGTGTGTGGCCATTGACATGTGTCTCTATGTCTACAGGCTAAAAATAAGTGTTAATTACTACTTTTTTGTTGATTAGATTTTAGTCTGTTGGATGGTAGCATCTAGTTTAAACTCTTACCCACATCTTTTTACATTTATTCATAACATTCTTTAGTTTGTAAAAGTTTTGAAACGGTATTTTGAGCCAAAAAGGTTTTGTCAAGGCTTAAAGTTAATGTGATATTGACAAGGACGAAAGAATAGAACCACAAAATAATATCTACTCATTAACTACCTATGGAAGCTTGGAATATGTACTCGAAGTTGTGTTTTATGTATGAAAATGTTACTTAAACAACTAAATCCTTGCTAGTAATCTACATTTTGTATATCTGTATCTGTATAGCTTATATATAACCTTCTTATGGCGTAACACCATCTTTGCATTCACGTGGCGCGGTGGCAGCTGGACATATCAGTGTACTAGTAATACCACACCGAATGACCTATTACCCCAACCCAGAAATTTTTTTGGGAGAGGTGCTCCCTAATCGGTTGATGTTGCAAAAAAAAATCTGTGAATTTTTATGAAATTACTAAGAGGAAACCTTAGATTTTAACATTTTGGAGAGGTTCTTCATTGCTTGGGAGATCCCTGTGACAATTTTTTTTAAAAAGGCCACACCAACTTAATTTTTTAAGCACATCGCTGGCCTTTTGTGGCATTTATGAGTCGGCACTGTACTGAGTTCTTGAGTTCCATGGAACTTCGGTAGCCTGGGTGCCATCCTCTGTAGTTACCAGTGGTCCGGCTCCCTATTGTCGCTGGCTACCATGGACTATGGAGGATGGCACCCAGGCCAGAGCCTCATAGGAGGTGATTTTTTCTTTTTCAGTACAGAGGAAAATCAATGTAGTGAGTACAGCTATGATTGTTGACAAACAGTTTGTTTTTGTGTACAGACCGGAGGGACCATGTCAGACGAGGACGACGTTCCCGATCTCATCGACTCGGACTCGGATGAGTCGGAGGAAGTCTCCACGGCAAGCAGCAATACGGAAAGTGCAAAGATATGGTTCCAAAAACCCCTACTTGGCGGAAAACCCATTGCAGGTATGGTAG